TCCCTGCCCCCAGCCCCGTTCCTGCAGGTCAGAACCCATCTGTCGGGGTGTTTCTCCAACTTCCCCTGCAGCAGGAGAGCCTGTCCCTACTGCCTCCTCCTCCGTGCAGCCCACCAGCCCCCAGAAAAGAGGGGAACTTCAAGCTCCTTTCCAGGACCCCCTGACCTGGAACAGGGGAGAAGGGCCTCGCCGGGACTTTGGCTCCGGCTTCAGACTCTAGTGGGCTTCAGACTCCGGCTGAGATGTGACCATAAGTGTTTGGAGAGCTCATCCCAAATGTGAGTTCAGCCTTAAATTGTGTCCACCTGTTTTTCTAAGGCCTTTCTGCCACCAGTCACAGAAGTGGCTGGTGTCACTTGTAGACACTCAGAGGTGGCAAGACAGTGTCCTGAGTGAGATGTGCTTGGTCCCCTGGCCTGAGCTTTCAGGATAGGGGTCTGCTTACCTTGTAACTCTCTTCTTGGGTGAAAACTTACTCCCAGCAACTCCCCTCCCCCCCCCCCCCCCCCCCCCCCCCGACCCTGCGCCTGGCCGGCCGTGGGGCTCTCACACGTGCAGTGACTGTCTTCTGAGCGGCCCTCATCATGGGCTTCTCCATTTTAGCTTCGGAGTTCTTCATCTGTAACTTTTATTAGGTAGCCCTTCATAACTGCCTATAGTTTGAATTTAGTTTTTCATTAATTTTGAAAGTAATTCAATAATATAGAATTATGCCACATTTAGCGTTACTGTTACATACTGTTGGGTATCTTTTTGTGAGTTAAGTAATAATATGTATACATCTGTAACTTGCTCCCTTACACACAGAAGAGCCTTCGGTCAGACTTGCTGAGCCATAAGTTAGCCGAGTTAGTATGTGGATGTTTCCGGATTTGTCAGTTCAGTATTTCCCCTGGAGTTTGCTGTCCAGGCCCAGGTCACCGCCCCCCACCCCCACCCCCCAGTGATAGCCAGGTCCCCATGGGAGAGGCCATGCGCCCACTGTCCCTGTCCCTCCTCCTCCCGCCAGGTGCCAGAGCAGCGCGGCTCCTCCCCTTCCTCCTCCCCTGCTCAGCGTAGCCTCGTGTGTCGCTGGTGCTCACCAAGGCCAGGACCCACCACTGGAGGACTGGGTGCTACGCAGCAGGAGTATTTGAGGGAAGGAATGGGGTGGAGCTGATAATCATCCCCAAATCAGCCCTGGGTTTTTAAAAAATGGATGTAACTGTTTCCCCTGTCTCATGGAGGGATCTTTAAACCAGTTCACTTCCGACGTGCACAGAACCCCACCCCAAGCCTGTGTGCACTGCTCACGGGAATTCCCTCCTGCAGCCTGACCCCCACACCTGCCGGTGGTCGCGAGTGGCCCGCACGGACCATCGCCCATCACTCATCTACTCAGAGGCTTATTGTGGTCTTTCAGAAGGTTCTTTGTAACACACTATGTAGCTGTTTGATTTTAAATGGCACTAAGCTTTCTGGAGCTGGGCCAGGGGCTTGCTAGAATTCCGGGTGCTGTCTGTGTCATCTTTGGGTGGAAGGGGGAAAATGCCATTGAACTTCTTGTGGTAATAAAATTATTGCAGTTGAGCCCTACATGTGTTCACTGAACATCCTGTGGGTTTCCACCAGATCACATGACTGACAGCAGAGGCCGTCTTTAAAGTGTTTGGTCTGCTTGTTATCCCCGAGTCTCAACCACCAAATCAGACCTTTGCTTTGTCTCTGGGCTGGGCGTCCGGATGTCCCCCTGTGGTGGGTTGATTGACTGGAGCTGATAAAAACATTCCGGCCAAACTTGAGAGTCTAGCATTACCTCTGGCTCCAAATATCAAAACAACAGGATTGTTGTCAGTAGCTCTGGACTGAGACCAAGCTCCAAGCCTGAGAGACGGGTTTTCGCTCCTTAACTGAGTCACAGGACAACTGTCTTGGAGAGGGGGGCTGAAGCCCGCTGCTGGCACACTCCAGGTGAATTCTTGCCGCAGCCACCAAACAAAGCCCACCCCCAGCCCCACCTTCCGATTTCCCAGGCCCCGGTGGTCCTCAGGACGCCCCCCCCCCCCAGTTGTCACCACCTGGGGCCCACAGGGGCCTGAGAATTGGAGAGAAGATGGGTGGTCAGCGCTGGGCAGGCCTGGGAGCGCCTCGCGGCCTGGGCCCGGGGAAGCAGGGACTTCGTTGGCGGAGTCGGGAGTGAAGACGCTCCCTCGAGTGAGGAAGTGGGACTTCCCTCGGCCCTCACAGGATGGCATCATTGTCCTCCGCCGCTGGAAAGGAGCAGAGGAAAGAGCGACTCCTCCCAGGCTGTTGATCTGACATTCAGACCAGGACACTTCTTGGACTGAATCCTGACAAAATGTGTCCCAGTGTCATCGGGGCTAAACAAAGCCTTTTGTCCTCCTTTTCCTTAGCTCCCAGGCTTCTGCGACAGACCAGAGGAGCCCTGTTTGTTTAGAGGTCTGTTTAAATCTCCAACCGTGCTGTCCTCTCTCTAGCTGTGGCAGGCGTGGGGGAGGGGTGGGCTATATGCAGCTCGGGCACAGCGCGCCCTCAGAGGCTGCGTTCACACTCGGGTTGACCAGATGGTGTTTTCAAAGCTCTCGTATGACTTATGCCTCTTATTCTCCCTTTTATAACGTTCCCAGTGCACTCTTAAAAACGGCTCGCTGCAGGAAATGGAAGCTCTTACTTTGCGCTTTCCAGTGTTAGCTTGTAGTGAGTCCTAGGGCCGTGGTCGGCAAACCGCAGCTGAGGAGCCACATGCGGCTCTTTGGCCCCTTGAGTGTGGCTCTTCCACAAAATACCACGTGCGGGCGTGCAGGTACAGTGCGATTGAAACTTCGTGGCCCGTGCGCAGAAGTCAGTTTTCAGCCTGGGCGAGTCTATTTTGAAGAAGTGGCGGTAGAAGAAGTGGGGGGTGTCTGTCCGCCGGGCGACGGGATACGCAGTGCGGGAGGCGCGTGCGATTCATGCACGAGTTGAGTGAGCCAGTCAGCAGTCTCATTGTGCAGTGTACCTCCATCAGATTGAGGACATTTTTAGCAAAGGCCAGCTTAGGAGAACCCTAATTAAGTTCATAACAATGTACCTACCTATATAGTTTAAGTTTAAAAAATTTGGCTCTCAAAAGAAATTTCAGTCGTTGTACTGTTGATATTTGGCTCTGTTGACTGAGTTTGCCGACCACTGTGCTAGGGACATGCTTCTGTTTTTCTTGCTCTTTATGCTTTATCCCCCTTTCTGGATCTTGTAAGTGCTGATGAAAAGTTACGAGAAAGAATGCTTTGCCGCTCACTGCTCCCTTGTGGAGAGTGGAGCGTGGGGGTGCGTGGCCACCTGCAGCGTGCAGGTTTTGGGAGTAATGGAGCCCTCCCGGCCTTGCCCTTGGTCCCTGTGTTCAGTGGTGCACCCTCAGGAGGCAGTCACAGGCGCCCAGCCTGAGGGGGACGGGCCTGCACTAGCTCTCAGGCCACAGCAGCTCTACATCTCCCGTGTGTCTTGGTTTTAAGCAATTGGGGTGACATTGGATCGCAGAACCATACAGGTTTCAGGAGTACAACTCTGGGACTCGTGCCTCTCTAACTGAGCAGTCACCAGAATTTCCCCAAAGCCCCACCCCAATGGGGGCTCTTGCCTAACTCTTTAATTCAGTGAGAAGGAATTCTCACTAAAGCAGTTCTCTTTCCCACCCACCTCCGTGGAGATGCAGAGTGTAAGTGACCTTGCGTCCTGCCCGAAGGCCTCCACAGAGGAACCCCAACGATGCCACAGGGCTGCGCATCTGTCAGTCATTCTGATTTCTAACGGGAGTGCATTTCCTGGCTACTGACCACATGGAAGCAGGCGTTAGACTCCCGCTGTAGGCAGTGTGGGGGCTGGCCCCCCAAACCACCAGCCCTGCCCTTCCCCCCACCCCTTCTCTCCACGTCACTGGGAGGGGTTTTCTAAAGTTTGAGGCCATTCCAAGAAGTAAGACTTCCTTGTTATTAGAGGATACATTTCTTCTTCAGACACAGCCCCATCCATTCTTGATAACTGACCTCATTCTGCGTTTGGTCATTTTTTAAGGACCAGTGTGGCGGGTTCTGTCTTGCAGTGACAGGGCACAGAACTAGCCCCCAGAGCCCCGGGGGGCTGGGAGAATGGAGTTCAAGGACCAAGTGCTAGGGTGGCTGTGGTGACACTTTCAGACTGACTTTCCCGCTCAGACCTCGGCTTTGCTCCCGACGACAGCCCAGGCCAGGTGCCCAGAGCAGCCCCCGCTGCCCCTCCATTAGTGGGGTGGCCGCATGGGAACATTGCAGACGGCCGCGGCTGGTGGCAGCTGCTGGCTGCGCCCTCTTGCTGCAAATGCAAGTTTTTCACAGAAAAGAGTATCCCTGTGTTGCTACCTGTAAGACACCTGATTTCATGACAAAGACTGACTGCCACCTCCAAGAGCCCTGTCCCCTCACACCTGGCACCTGACAGGCCAGAAGCAGCGCGGAGTGTGAGGAGGCTCGCTCAAGAGGCCAAGGGCCCGGGCCTGAGAAACCACCAGCTGCTCGGCAGTTACGGTGCCGGCCGGGGCAGGGGATGCCCGGGCCCCCTGAGAGGCTGGCGAGGAAATGGGTGCCTGGGCAGCCTAATGGAGGCCCCGCCGGTCAGAAGTGCTGGAGCTAGTGCTTCCCTCCGCGGACCAACCGGCCCTCGCAGGAGGTGGCGAGCTGCGCTGTGCAGAGCAGCTGCCACCCGGATGCCAGCGCTCCACCCAGTGGGTGCCTGTCTGCCGCCCAAGCTGGGGGGTTGTGCGGGAAGGTGCTCCTCTCCAGGGTGACGGCCCTGGAACCAAGCCCGTGCAGTCTGAGGTGCCCTCCCTCTCGGGCCCCTGCTCCTCTCGGGGTGCCGAGGGGGGCGCGTGCCCTTCCGCAGGGAGCGGAGCTGGGAGAGCCCCGGAGCTCTCACCGGGCGCCTCGGGGAGGGGCTCCTGCACACAGCATGGAACGGCGCGATGATAAACTCGTCTTGTTTCGTTGCAGAAGTTTCCGGAATTGAAATTCAAGTATGTGGAAGAGGAGCAGCCCGAGGAGTTCTTCATCCCCTACGTCTGGTCCCTGGTGTACAGCTCGGCCGCCGGCCTGTACTGGAGCCCGCAGGACATCCAGCTGTTCACCATGGACTCCGACTGAGGGCAGCCCCGCCCTCCCGCCACCGAGCACCTTCTCGTGTGTTTTTTCTGGCGAACAGACCAAGGAGATGGCCTGGTGTGTCTCCTGTTAGGATCAGGAAACAGGCGTGTTTCCCTTGCACACTCGGATGTGGAGCAGCGGTGCCAGTTGGCAGTAGATCACTCGGCTTCGATTATAGTACAAAGGGGGCGGGGGGTGGCACAACAATAATAAACATCCAACCTGCTGTCCCACATGCAATTTTATTTATTTCTAAACCAGAACCAAGAGCTTTCCCAGGAGCCCGCCGCCTTAGGCACGTGATACTTCCCCAGGACATTCTACTTTTTGCATGTTCAAGGTTTTTGTTTTAGTCGCGTGTGTATGTATATGTGTGTTTCCTTCAACGCTGAGAAATACCAATCTGAAAAGATGACGAGACAGGAATTAATGAGGAAATGAAGTCGTCTGCGTGGTGGTTTAATAATCACGGTGCCCGGGCAGTTGGCTAAGCCTTTAGATCCCCTGCATCTTTCCCTCCGAAAAGGAAACGGCTCCGCCTCCTGACGCCAGCTCGGCTTTTCTGTGGGCTTGGCCCCTGTGCTGTGGCTGAATTAAATTGGAGTCTAGTATAAATTAAGTTAATCCACTCTGTATTAATCGTTAGGAAAAGAAAGCTTCGTCTCAAAAGCAATCTTTTTTCTTCAGCCAGACTCATGGGAGAAAAAGGAGACCAATTTGATTAATACAGTACCCACAGGAGATGAAAAACACGTTTTTCTCTTCATTTCTGACGTGGTTTAAACTCGTTGGGGCCTAGGTGACCGCGCTGGGTCCCTGAGCTGGAGGAAGGCGCTGCTCCGAGGGAGCCGAGGGAGCCGGCAGCGGCCCTCAGCCCAGCAGGCCGGAGGCGTGGGCGTCCCGGCGAGCCCGCCCCACATCCTGTCGCCCCGCACAGTCCGGAGGAGAAGCAGTTTCATGCACGGAGACAAAAGCACATCATTCCACGGGAGCCTGAGCACCCGCTGCAGCCCGCCTCCGGCCCTCTCAGGAACCAGCTCTGTCCCCATGTCCCCGGCGGGGGCCCAGCCCAGCACAGTCTCGGAAAAGGACACGTCATGCACGTCGGTGTGTCCCCCGGGAAAGGCCTGGGCTGCTCCGTCTTCCAGGCCTTTGGGGCCGGCTGGGCGGTTTTATCCTCGCCTAGAGCAGCGCTGAAACCAAAGCTCCCGCGTGGGGAAGGACGGATAGCTTTAATTCGTTTCTGAAGCATGTGATTTGCTTCCATGAAACCAAAACACAAATCTTCAGAGGGTCACGTGGGGCCGCTGAGTCTCTGGTGGGACCTGAGACGTGTCCTCGGGGCTGAGGGCTGGGCAGTGCCGAGGGACAGCCTGTGGGCTGCAGGGCCGTCAGCTCTTGTGACTAGAGGAGCCCCCGTCTCCCCTGCTCCCCCCGCCCCTCTCATCACCGCAGCGGAAGCGCCCACGGCCTGAAGCCCAGCGGGGCTGCGGCCGCAGAGGCAGCGTGAGATCGCACTGTCCGTGCCCCCGCCCCTCTCATCACCGCAGCGGAAGCGCCCACGGCCTGAAGCCCAGCGGGGCTGCGGCCGCAGAGGCAGCGTGAGGGCCCGTCCCCGTGCCGCTGCACAGACCCGCCAGGAGCTGCTTGCTGTTGTGAAAGATTCATTCCATGACAATAAATTTAAGTGGCATCATTGGATTATGCGTGCATTAATTTGTTTGGGAATGTTTTTGTTTTCCACAAAGTGAAAACGGGCAGAGTGAGGCCATACAGGGTCGTCGTGTGTTAGGAGGGACATTAACATCTGATTCCATCCACGATACGAAGCTGTTACTGCAGTGTGTCAGCTTACCAACAAAGGTTCTGCCACAATATTTATCTTTAAGAGAACGTGCCCCTTCCGCTAGCACCTTATCTTCCAAGAGCTCAAGGACTGTACAAAAAAGCTTCAGAAGCAGAACTGGTTCCCACTGTCGCCCACTGAGGCCGGTGCTGGGATCTGTGAACAGCAGCCTTGTCACGTGGGCATCCCAGGGCAGCCACGTTCGGCGGGGCAGCAGAGCGGGGCACGGAGCCGCTCAAGGGCGAAGGCAGAGGAAGGAAGGAAAAGAAGGTCCCTAAAGGTGAAGCATAGAAAGTGCACCGCACACCGTCCTCTCCTTTGGAAGGAAATTGCAGGAGCTGGCCAAGCGCAAGACGGAGAGGGCAGAGCATAGGACAAGCATCAGTCAACATCCAGCCACTTCCGTGAGCGTGTTAGGGTACGCCCGTGAGAGACGCTGGGGAGGCGGGTGCTTTGGGGCCCTGAATTTCTTACTCTTTGGCAACAGTGTCCTTTAGGTTCTGGGGAGCCAGGGTCTTGCCTTTGGGATTAAAGCTCCCTGCGTAACTGAGTTGATAGAGGCTTGGGTTTGCAAGGTCAACCCTGTGGGTCTTAATTTCCTCCAGGTACCACGCCTGCAGTTCAGTAGCTGCCATTTGGATAATAGGGACTTGGTCCTTGAGCTTTCTGATGCCAAATTCAGGGTTAAAATCCAGTGTCCCACATCACCTCCCGGAGTCCAGGAGGTCAGGGTTTCCATTCTCTGGTGAAGAGCCTGGCTTCCTCTGAATTTGAAAAGCTGAGGAATGGATTATAGCACAGTTCACAGCAAATAATTTAATTTTGTTTTTTAAGAACTCGGAGCATAAAATGTATTCTCCTTAGGGCATATCCATTTAGGATCTCCCATCCGAAACAAGGGAAATTCATTGGGAACCTCCTCCCCCTTGATCAGACCGTACATGGCAACCACTGCTCCCTGACTCCCCAGGGCTGTCCAAGTCCCAGCTGCTCTGCCTCTGGGGTTGAAAAGGCCCCCAGAGGAAAAGCAGCCCATGCGACTGACCAGGTGACACTTCACCAGCCTGTTGGCTTTGGGATCACTGCAAACAGAGATTTAAATATTTGGCCAGATTCCCAAGGTGTCCTTAGCTGGAGGGTTGGTTGGATTTTTAGTCCTCTGTGACTATCAGTAGACAATCCTTCCTGGATTCTGTGAGCCAGACCCTGAATGTGGATCCAGGTGAAACCAGGTGACTAGTGTCCCCGGGAGCCTAGCACATGTACATTCTCTCTGGAGGAAGCAAACTATTATGGTATGAATGTTTGTATACCCACCTCCCAACTCATATATTGAGCCCTAACCTGCAATGTGATGGTATTAGGAGATAGAGCCTTGGACAGGTGATTAGGTTTAGATGAGGTCATGAGGGTGGGGCCCTCATGATGGGATTAGTGCCCTCAGAAGGAAAGACATGGAAGAGATTTCTCTTTCTCTCCACCATGTGAAGTTACAGCAAGAAGACTACCATCTATAAGCCAGGAGGAGAGCTCTCCAGGAATCACACCATCCAGCCTTCAGAACTGCAAGAAATAAATGTCTGTTGTTTAAGCCAGGCTGTCTGTGGTATCTTGTAACAGCTGCCCAAGCTGACTGAGACAGGAGTATTACTCAAGGCCTCAAATTATTTCTACAATGTTACAATCAGAAATATCCAGGTATATGAGATAATATGAATTAAAACTGTCAGAGAAAAGAAAACATATCCATAGTATCTGCAGATAGTCAGAATTTGAAACAGCTACGCTTTCTGTGTTCAAAGAAGAAAATTTTTCAGTTTTCTTGTGGCCAAGAAAATGAGAAACTATAAAAAGGGACCAAATAGAAGTTCAAGGACTGAAACATACTATAGCAGGATTAAGAATAATTCAATGGATGGATTCAAGAGCAGCTTAGTCACAACTGAGAAGAGAATGAGTAAGATGAAAAATCAGGGTCTAAAAGGTAAGTAAAGGGTAGGAGACATAAAGGATACCGTGAGAATGTCTGACCAAAATGTAGTTGGAATCTCAATAGAGTAAAAGAATGGGATGTTTACATAAATACTGGGCCAAGAACTTTTCTAAATCTCACAAAACATATCAAGCCATAAATTCAAGAAGCCCCAACAAATAAGTGCATTAAACAGACGATCTAAACCTAGACACACCATAGTCAAACTGTTGAAAACCAAAGAAAGAAAAAATTTTTTTAAGCTCCCAGTGGGAGGAGAGAGGGACTACTCAAAAAAAGCAGGAACAATGGAAGACAATAAAGTGGTACCTTGAAAGTGCTAAAGTGATTGCCAACCTAGAAATTTCTAATGGGGGAAAAGGGTATTTTTAGACTAACAACTGGAAGAACTCCTCAGCACACATAACCTAAAGGAAATGAAGAGTGTTCAATGGGCAGAAGGATACTGATCCCGAATATAAGGATTGACAAGCAATGAAAATGAAAAGGGCACAGATCAACATAAACACTGGCTACATAAAACAGTTGTGTCTTGTGGAGTTTACATATATATGGAAGTGCTGAAAGTAAAGATATGGGGAAGGTGAAATAGAGTTGTGTTCTAAGCCCCTTGCATCACCCAATAAGAGAATTTAAAAATTCCATTTAATATTAGATTTTGATAAGTCAAGGATGCATATTGTAATAGCTATTAGTAAAAGGGTGTGTAACCTTTTAGATAATGAGAGAGGATGAAATAAATCAGTGGACAGGCTTAAGAGCTGCAAAATAGGATAAGGAGAGAAGAAAAACAGGTGGGACAAATAGAAATCGGATTGTAAGATAATATGTGCCCAATAAACTATGTTATAGATTCATTCTTACAGTAAATGGGCTAATGCTCCAATGTTGACAAAGATTGACAGGTTTGCTTTCAAAACAACCATATGCTATTTACAATAAATGCTTTTAAAACATAAGAAGTTAGAAATTTTAAAAGAAAGGGGTGGAGAAATATATACCCATCAAACAGTAATCACAGGGAGCTATAGATACATTGTTTTAAAGTAAACTTTAAACCCAGCCCCCATGGCTCAGTGGTTAAGTGTGAACATGTGAACGGTCAGGGCTGCAGGCTCCCATCCCCAGTGGGGCATGCAGGAGGCAGTGGATCAACGATTCTTTCTCATCATTACTGTTTCTATCTCTCTCTCCCTCTGCTTTACTCTCTGAAATCAGTAAAAATGTATTTTAAAAATAAATAGACTTTAAGGCAAAAGAAGCATTAAAAATTAAAAGGGTCAATTCAATTATTAGAAGTAATTCTAAATTTTTCACTTAATGATACAATCTTAAAATATATAAAAGTTGATAGAACTAGAAAATGTAGGCAAATAAGCAATTATAGTGAGTTTTT